TGCCCCGCCACCTCACCCTGCCCACCCCCCCACCTCCCCCAGATCTATCGCTACCTCCGTGCCTTCCTGCCTGAAAGCGGCTTTACCATCCTGCCCTGTACCCGCTATTCCATGGAGAGGAATGGAGCCAAGATTGTGTCTACCCGAGCTTGGTAAGAAGGCAGAACTCCTGACAGGAGGCTCTTCCAGGTGGCTGGGTGAGACCTCTGTCCCTATTAGGGGAGGGGTGGAGGAGGAGAGAGATGTCCTGTTCCTGCTCAGGAGACCAGGTCCTGGTCCTGAACACCACAGCCCAAGGGGGGGGGGAATGATGCCCCCATGTGGCCCCAGGGTTCCAAGGCCAGACCTTGGCCCAGGACTGTGCCATCCTTTCTTTACTCTGACCCGAGCCCTGCCTCGTAGCAGGTGCCAGGTGCCACGGGGCAGGACAGTGAGCAGGTTGGGCCAAAGGGCGCTCAGTATAGCGGGAAGGCAGGTGGTAGCCGGGCGAGCATGCAGATACTGACCACAGCTGCTCTGAGCTTCAGGAGCCGGCCGAGGAATTGTAGGTGTTCAGGGGAGCCCGGCTTTAGCTGGAACGGAGAGGAGGAACTGGAGGGCCTGGTCTAGAGGGGCCGTCGGTGGCCGTCGGTGGCCGTCGGGGCGTTGAGTCCAGGCAGGAGGGAGCCCTGGAGGAGCCGAGGGGAGGGGAGCGGATGCAGGCCGTGCCGCGTGGCCCTCTGGATGGGAAGCCCAGCCCCGCAGGTGTAGAGAGTTAGGAGGCGGCCGCAGTCCAGTCCCCGCGGGGGTGGTCAGGGAGGCCGGCGCTGCTCACGGCCGCCGCCCGGCCTCGGCCTCTCGGTAGGAAGAAGAACGAAAAGCTGGAGCTGCTGGTGGGCTGCATCGCGGAGCTGCGGGAGGCCGACGAGGGGCTGCTGCGGGCGGGCGAGAACGACTTCAGCATCATGTACTCCACGCGCAAGCGCAGCGCCCAGCTGTGGCTCGGCCCCGCCGCCTTCATCAACCACGGTGCGTGGGGCGTGGTCTAGTGAGGGGCGTGGCCAGGGAGGGCGACGCCCCCACCCTGTGGCTCCGTTCACAGTCTGTTCTCTCCCCCTGTCCGCACCCTCCCTCCGCTGTCTCCAGACTGCAAACCCAACTGCAAGGTGAGACCTGGGGGCCCCGGGAGGAGTGGGCGCGTGGGAAATGAGGAGGGGAGGGTTTTCTGGTCTGCGAGTAGCCGGAAACTGCCCACGGTCTCCCCATGTGACCGTGGGGAGGGAGGGATGGAGGGAGGAAGGGGGGAAGGGGTCTTGGCTGGAGTCACATTGGAACACGGTTTGCCACCTGCTGGCGGTGTTCTTCCCTCGCTGAACCGAGGTGGGGGCTGGGCCACTTTGAGGGAGGCCTGTGGTGACCCTGGGCCTGGAGCCCTGGGCCTCGCAGGGCAGCACCGGTGCAGCCGTGAAAACAGGGACAGGGGACTGAGTGGCAGGAACCTGCGGATTCATGCTCCCCGGGATGAGGCCTGAGAGCCCTGGAGGAGGAGGAGGGGGACCTCTGGGCGGCAGGGCTCCCTGCACTGGGAGTGGGGTTGGGAGTGAGGCAGGGTTGATGCCTGCTGCTTCTGTGGTGGAGCCCAGGAGAGGGGCGATGGAGGAGAGACAGCCCCTAGGGTGCTCCCTGCCAACTGTGGGCCTCACCTGTGTCTCCTGGAGCCCTGAGGCATGACGGGGGTCCCAGGCTCTGGAGTTAGAGCTGGGATTGTGCCCTGGCTCCGCCTGTCCTGGGCCCCAGTTCTGAGATGGGAGACTGGTGCCTCCCGGCTGGCTAAGAGGATCGGGTGCACTGTGCACACTGATGCTTGTCGGAAGTGTGCCTGTGGTTGCAGGCCTCCGTAATTACATGGATTTCGGGGTGGATGACATACATGTGGCCCTGGTCTGGCCCTGGTTTGGCCTTGGCCTGGCCCTATGCACAGGCGCTGGGTAGGTCAGAAAACAAGACAAGGCTCTGTGAGAGGCTCTGTGCCAAGGCAGGTGGCAGCCACCTGGGGCACAGGAGCAGGCATTGAAGGAGGAGTAGGGTTTTCCTAGGTGTTATAGGAAAACAGGGATATGTTAGGGTGTCCCAGACGGGTAGGAGGCATGACCCACAAGGGGACTCCAGTCTGCGATGCGGCATGAGCTCGGGTTTGCCCCATGGGGTCAGTGAATAACAGCTAGGTGTTTAGAGGCTTGGCAGGAAGTGAAGGGACTGGAGGCAGGGCAGCCACGAAGAGGCTGGTGTGTAACCTGGTTTATAACAGAAAGAGGTGATGAGGGGCTGGGTCCAGATAGAGTCTTGGGACAGAGAAGAGTAGGATGCAGGACACCATGCACTCCTCGGGAGGCGCTGACCAGTTGGCTTGGGGTCAGGCAGGTGGGTGGCAAGGGCCACTCTCAAGCTTGTGTCAGTCTCTAGTAGATGGATGGATGATGGGTGGATAGATGGATGGGTTGGTTGGTGGATAAATGGATGGGTGTGTGGGTGGATAGATGGATGGGTGGGTGGGAGTCGTGCCCCTCTCAGGTACCTTGGAGGCAGGAGCAGCAGGCAGGTGGGGGCCATGGGGCAGCAGGCCTGGATGGGGCTGTGGAGTGGCCTCCAGGAAGAGGGGTGGCTATAAGGGTGCAGGCTGGCAGAGAACAAGGGAGAAGCAGGTTAGGAGGGTCAGGGGGATGGGACTTGGCTGCAGAAGCTGGGGCAGGTGTGTGGGAGGGCATGGTTGCTGTGCACTGCCAGGGAGGGGTTAGATCATCTTCCCGCAGGAGGGGAGGAAGCCATAGGCAGCAAGTGGTCAGATTGCGTGAAAAGGGCAGGCCCTGTGCAGGGTGGCCACCTCCCAGGGACTCCTCGCCACTGTCCATGCCAGGGGAGGACCCTCAGGGACCGGGTGGCCAGGGAGGCCAGGGTGCTAAGCAGCCGGGCCCCCAGTTTGTGCCCGCAGATGGGAACGCAGCCTGCGTGAAGGTGCTTCGGGATATTGAGCCAGGGGATGAGGTTACCTGCTTCTACGGGGAAGGTTTTTTTGGTGAAAAGAACGAGCACTGTGAATGCTACACCTGCGAGAGGTGGGTCCGGAGCAGGGGGGCGGGCAGGAGGGACCTGGGGATCTCATGAACCCAGAAGGACAGCCTCAAAGCTGACATCCCCCAGGAAAGGGGAAGGAGCTTTCCGCCTGAGGCCCCAGAAGCCCTTGCCGCCGCAGCCCCTGGACAAGTACCAGCTCCGGGAAACCAAGCGGAGGCTGCTGCAGAGCCTGGGCAGTCGGCTGAGCCCCTGGGCCTGTGCCCACCAGTCTCCTCTGCGCCAGGACCCGTTCTGCGGTGAGCACAGGGCAGGGGCCCCATCCTGTCAGCCTGTCTCTATTAGCTGCTCCCCCCACCCTCCAGTCTCCATCCCTTCTCTGCCCTCCTGTCCTGTTCCTGGGTGTCCCTGTGGGGTGGAGGAGGTGGCCAGAGCAGGAGGTATCCCCCTTTCCAGAGGGCCTGCTCACAGGGTCACTCTTTGTCTCCCCTCCCCCACCTACACAGCCACCTGCCAGCCCCTGCGCCTCCTGCCCTGTGGCACCCGCCCTGATGCCTCTCCCCTCTGGGTCCAGTGGCTACCGCAGCCCCAGCTATGGACACGACCCCGGAGGCGCCGTCGCCCCCAGCCCCGGCGGGCCCCCATGCCCCCCATTCTCCGTGCTGCCCGTGTCTCCCTGCACCGGTGGGGAGGCTGTGGCCCCCACTGCTGCCTGCAGGCGGAGGCCCTGGTCGCCCTGGGCTCTGTCCCCCGCACCCGCTGGACCCCCCAGCAGGACTGGCACTGGGCCCGGCGTTATGGGCTGCCTTACGTGTTGCGTGTGGACCTGAGCCGGGCGGTCCCAGCCCCTCCTGCCACTCCCACCCCCAGCCCCACACCCACTGGGACACCAGGCTCTGTTCCTATCCCCAAGCAGGCCCTCGCCTTTGTACCCTTCTCCCCACCCAAGCGCCTGCGGCTGGTGGTCAGCCACGGCTCCATTGACCTAGATGTGAATGGTGACGGGCCGTGATGGGCGGGACGGGGCACCCTGCTGGTTTCCCCAGCCCTGAATTCTCGGGACTCACTGACCTCCATAAGGAGCTCTTGGGCCTCTTAAGAGGGAGCTTACCCTTGACCCCAGCACAGCTCTGACCTGGGGGTGAGGTTGCTTTGGACACCCCCAGGGATCGGACCCCTGACCCTTTGTGACTGCTGACCCCTGAGCCACCCCAACCCCAGCAGGGAGCCCTGGCCATTGCTGCCCTCTGTCCCCCAGCCCCAGCCTCAGGACTGAAGAAGCCGTTCCCTTCCCCACCACCTTCTCCTGCCCAGGGAGTAAAGCCATAAGGGGTGGGGGCCACCCCTGGCATCTCCCCAGAAGCCCAGGCCTCTGGAGAAGGGGAACTGACTTGGGGGTAGCAGTTTCTGAAGACTGCCCCCTGGAGGGGAGTGTGTTAGCTCTCAGCTCTGCGACTGTCTGAGGTGGGGGGCAAGGTGGGGGGTGTCCATGCATCTTCACCACCCCTGTGGGTCTCAGGGAGGCCGGGTGTGACCTCATCTTTCTCATGGTGCTATCCCTGGTGCTACTGGGGTGTGGGGGCTCCCTCCCCTCCCCCACACCAGAACGGGATATGTTGGGGGATTGGAAGCACTTGAACTTTTTATTTTATTAAAACCTTGTTACAAGCTTCACCTTCAGAAGTCTTTCGCTTTGGCTTATGTTTTGAGGGGATATCCATCAGGAGGGTGAGACCCTCAGCCTTGCTGGGGACACCAGGCCCAGGGGAAGCAGCCCAGGCTTTGGGCCCTGAGAGCTCTGGGAGTGTGAAGGGGTAATGACTCAGGAATGCCCAAGTCCCATCACCCTACAAATCACACTGAGAAGGGATGGAAAGACCACCCTCCCAGCGGAGGATTCTCCCCACTTTGCAAGTGAGGCAACAGGGCTGGCGACAGTCAGACGCTCCTCCCACAGCCCACCTGTGTCATCCTGGTTGGCCCGGCCCTGTGGGACCACACGCATCTTCTTGTGTCTTCAGATCCAGTTCAGTATCTTTTTAATTTTTAAAAATTGGTTTTGGGGGGGGCTGACGATTTGTTTTTCCACCATTCATGCATTCATTCTTTTTTTATTTTTTTATTGTATTTATTTAATTTACTTATTTTTGTTAATCCTCACCTGAGGATATTTTTCCATTGATTTTTAGAGAGTGGAGGGAGGGAGGAGGGGGGAGGAGAGAAAGGGAGAGAGAGAGAAACAGAAGCATCCATGTGAGAGCGAAACATTGACGGGCTGCCTCCTACACGCACTGCACTGACTGGGGTATCCTTTCAGTGCATAGGACGACGCCCAGCCAACAGAGCCACATGGGCCAGGGCTGTGAACCACATTTTATAGGAATGGCCCAGGGGTCTGGGGTCATATGGCTAGAAGCTGCAGAGCTGGGACTCAAACCCTCTTCCAGGCTCTGGGGTCCTCAGGAAAGAGGCAGACACCAGGGAGGCTGGAGCTGCGCCTACTGGAGACCAAGGGACAGCTAGCTGGTGGGATGGGAGAAGAGAGGGAGAGAGGGTGCCTCAAGAGTGGGAGGGTTCCTGGAGCAAAGGTCAGAGGGCAGCTGAGTGTTTTTGTGATTCTGACCAGGAAGCACCTGAGTCTAGACTGGGAGGAAGGAGCTGATTCTGAGGGGAGGGGGATAACAGATGGAGGGAGGTTGGGAGGGGATGAGCGATGGGGGAGGAGGGATGCTGGTTGGGGGTGCAGCAAGTTGTGTGTCCCCAGTTTCCTCTGACCTGGGAGGCTGCTGGAGGGCAGTGAGGCTGACATTGGGGGTTCAGGACATGGCTGGCAATGCTGGCTGGAGAGCTGTGGAGAGGTGTTCAGACCTGGAGTTCAGGGCTGGGAGTTTGTGGTGGTGCTGGTCCAGCCGGCTGGAGGCTGGGTGGGTCTGGCCCAGGCTCAGGCATCTATAGGGCACTGGTGGCCACAGGGAGAACAGGGCAGGGAGTTAAAAAATGTCTCAGAAGTGTAGTTGCAGGTTTGATCCCTGGCCCTGCTCGGGATGCGTGTGGGAGGCAACCAATCCATGTGTCTCTCTCACACCCATGTCTCCCTCTCTAAAAAAAATCAATGGAAAAAAATATCCTTGGGTGAAGATTAACAAAAACTTAAAATTAACAAAAATGTCCCAGCCTGGCCAGCATGGCTCAGCAGTTGAGCATTGACCTATGGTCTAGGAGTTCTCTGTCCAGTTCCCGGTCAGGGCACATGCCCAGGTTGTGAGCTCCATCCCCAGTGGGGGTCGTGCAGGAGGCAGCCGATCAATGACTCTCTCATCATTGATGTTTCTTTCTCCCTCTCCCTTTCTCTCTCTGAAATCAATATATTTTTAAAAATGTACCAGAAGTGGTTGAGGGATGGTGGCCGGGAGGATCCGGGGCCCAAAAGGGAAGGAAATAAAGCTGGGAGGGGCTGCTGGCCAACGGGGCAAAATGCACTCCAGGCACGTGCTCTGGTGAGATCCAGAGGCTGGCCACGGCTGCACAGGTGTCAGCCCTGTGCTTAGACGCTACCTGGGTGACCTCACCGAGTGCTCAGACAGTCACCCCATTCTGTGACTCAGAGCTGCCTTGCTTGCGTGGCACCACTGCTTGCTTCCTTCCTGCAGCAGCCCGGGAGGTCCCCTCCTGTAGCTCCCAGGTCTGTGGCCCAGGCACACCCTGTGCCCTCACTCATCCCCCTGCCTCTCAGGTCGTGGTCCCAGAGAGGATCCCTGGGGGCCAAGATCTCGGGGTGGAACTATTTGGGAGATGACACATCTGGGGTGTGCCCTGGGTGGGGGTGATGAGGGCATCGAGGTGGGTGAGGGGATGGGATGGGATGGGATGGAGCCGGCCCTCCCAAGCTCACCCAGCCCCTCCCACTGTCCCTCTGGATCACCGGACTCTGCATTATCCTGCTTACAGCTGGGGAAACTGAGGTGCACACAGGTCAACAGGCTTGTCCAGGGTGACCCAGAAAGTTGTCAGGGTTAGTAACAGCCACCTTCGAACCCTGGGGTGGAGCGGGGCCTGGTGAGACAGCTTCAGGCTGGGGGTCCAACAGCTTCAGGCAGAAACAGCGGAGTCCAATTTTCCCACTTTCAGGTATCATGGCCGGCTGTCTGGGGTAGGACCCGCTCTATGCTCCTCCGTCCAGGGTCACTCCTCAGCCTGGGGCCTGGGGAGGAGGTGGCTGGAGAGATGGCATTTCGAGGTGTCTGGGATCAGAAGGAATCTCAGCATTGACACCTGAGAGCCTGGCAGGGGGAAGACCCAGGGGCCAATGGGGTGGGAACAAAGAATAATTCAGGCGGGAGCTCTGAGTGTCCTGGAGCTGTCTGGAAGGGTCTGGAGAGGGTCCCTCCTGGCTGTGGGCGGTGCTGTAGGACAGGCCAGCAATGCCTGGGACCCTGGAGGGGGCTCACCTGGCAGGAGTGAGATGTACTGCGGGAAAAGGGGTCGCATGGGGGCCGGGGAGTGGCGGAGCGCCCGGGGAAAGTTTGGAGCAGGGCAGGAGGGACAGGGGTGGGTTAGTGCTGCGTGGTCCACAAATGAGTCCCCTCAGGACCTGAGATGGGGTGGACTGGGACAGAGGGGCACGGAGCCTGGGAGGGGTCTGGGAGGCCGTCCAGGTAAGAGGAGAAGGGGTCCTGAGGAAGGAGAGGAAGGGAGGGTTCCGGCGGCGGAAGGTGGGCGCCCTGGAGAGCCTGGGGCGACCCGGGGCTGGCGCTGCTGCAGCTGGGGGGCGGGCGGGCCCGCTTGCTCCCACCTGGGACCCGACGGCGCTCCCGCCACCCCAGCCCTGGCGGAGCTCGGTCCTCCCGCCCCTCCCTCCTCGGCAGAACCGTCGGGTCGGCTCCGGGGCGCGGCCACCGGGAGGACCTGCCGCCCGCACGGCGCATGGGGCAGACACACGGCGGCAACGACATCGCTTTATTGGTGGCCTAGCGACGGGCGGGGGCCGGGTCTCCGGGAGACGGGGCGGGGCCACCGGGGCCGGTCCCTCGGGGGAGCCGCGCGCTCGCACCG